CCGCCCCGCCCCGCCCCGCCCCTCGGCGAGCCGGGCACCGCGCCCTTCCCTGGCGCTCGCACCGAGGGCTGAGGGTGAAGCAAAGCCCTTGTGGGGCCTGTGTTGAAGCGAAGGGCGAGAGGCAGGCGCTGTTTCCATTCACGCCTAGGGGTTAGGTAGAAGCGAAGGGCGAGAGAAGCCCTCCCCGGGGAGACAGGCATCCCTGGCATTGGTGCCTAGGGCTTATGTTGGGCGAGAGAAGCCCCCTGTTTGCATCCCTGCCCTTAGCGCACAGCTTTAGACCCCGGTGGCGTACCAAAACCAAGGGGCGCGCTGCTCCGGGATGCCCGTCGGCAGGCACAAAAGGAGGGGGCGCCTTCCCGGGCATCTGTGTGGTTTGTTCGGAGCCGTGGAGGTTTCCTACCAGCCTCGCCCTGCCTTTGTTCACTGTGGCCGTCGCCTGCTGGGAGCTTGCGAGTGCTGCGGGTCGCTTGCCAGGCAATTAGGTGAGGGCAGGTTCCTGCTGGGGATGTTGGGGTGGGGGGTTCGCTCCCATTGCAAACGTGGTCGAGCCTTGCCTCCGGGGGTTAATTGGAGGTTTTGGGCACGCTGGGTTTCCCAGTTGCAGTGGTGCAATGGGCAGAGCCCATGTTCCCAGGGCTGGTGCTAGGCAGTGGGCCTTGACGTTCATAAATAGAATTGATGCCGGCTCCAAGACCAGGTCAGCCACCGCAGTGGGGTTATAAGGTATATAATCTATACCGTATAATGCAGGTAATGATCCTATATTTAGACTCATAGAAAATGAGGGCTGGAGGGGACCTCAGAAGGTCACATCTAGTCCAACCCCCTGCTTAAAGCAGGACCCACCCCAGCTATGTTACCCCAGCCAAGGCTTTGCCTAGCCAGGTCTTAAAAGCCTCTAAGGACAGGGATTTCACAACCCTGTTCCAGTGGTTTACTACCTTCCTCCTGAGAGTTTTTTTATAATATCTAACCTCACCTTCCCTTACTGCAACTTGAGCCCATTGCTCCTTGCTCTGTCATCTGCCACCACTGAGGGCAGCCCAGCTCCATCCCCTTTGTCACCCCCTTTTAGGTAGGTGAAGGCTGCTATTAAATCCCATTTCGGTCTTTTCTTCTCCAGACTAAATAAGCCCAGTTCCCTCAGCCTCCCTTCACGTGCCCTACCCCTCTTAACTATTTTTGTTGCCCTCCACTTTGTCCACGTCATTTCTACAGTGTGGGGTGCCCCAGAACTGGACACACTACTCCAGATGTGGCCTCACTAGTGCCAAATAGAGGGGGATAATCACTTTCCTCAATCTGCTGGCTACGTTCCTATTAATGCAGCCCAGTCTGCTGTTAGCCTTCTTCACAACAAGGGCACTTTTGGGTCATATTTAGCTGATTGTCCCCTGTAACCCCGAGGTCTTTTTCTGCAGAGCTGCTGCCCAGCCAGTCACCCCCAGCCTGCCCTGGTGCATGGGGTTGTTCTGTCCTAAGTGCAGAGTTTTGTACTTGTCCTTTTTGAATTTCCTGAGATTTCTCTCGGTCCAATCCTCCAATTTGTCTAGGTCTCTGAATCTTAGCACTGCCCTGCAGCATATTTACTATTCCTGCCCCCCTCATCTTGGTGTCATCAGCAAACTTGCTGAGGGTGCACACCATCCCATCTTCCAGATAGTTGATGAAGGTACTGAACAAAACTGGCCCTAGGACTGACCCCTGGGGCACTCTGCTTGATACCGGCTGCTAACTAGACATCAATGGATTACTACCCTTTGAGTCCAATGAGGCACCCAGTTTTCTATCCATTTTACAGGCCATGCATCCAGCCCGGACTTCCTTAGCTTATTTGTGAAAATCTTGTAGGAGACTGTATCAAAAGCCTTGCTAAAGTCAAGGTATATCACATTAACTACTCTCCCCATGCCTGCAAAGCCGGTCATCTCATCACAGAAAACAATCAGGTTGGTCAGACATGACTTGCCCTTGGTGAATCCATGCTGACTGTTCCTAATCACCTTCTCCTCCTCCAAATGCTTAAAAATGGATTTCTTGAGGACCTTCTTCATGATTTTTCCAGGGACTGAGGTGAGGCCAACTGGTTTGTAGTTCCCTGGATCCTCCTTCTTCCCTATCTTAAAAATGGGAACTATATTTACCCTTTTGCAATCATCAGTTGCCATGAGTTTTCCAAGATAATGGCCATTGGCTCTGCAATCACATTGGCCAACTCCTTCAGCACACTCAGGTGCATCATGTCCAGCCCCATGGACTTGTACACATCCAGCTTTTTCAAATAGTCCCTAGCCTGTTCTTTTGCCACTGTTGGCTGCTCACCTCCTCCCCGAAACGGTGCTGCCCAATACAGTAATCTGGGAGCCGACTTTGCCTGTGAAGACAGGTAAAAAAGGCATTGAGCACTTCAGCCTTTTCAGGAGTTTCAGGAGCTATCTCCTGTTTTCCCTAACGAACAAGGGCAACTTACTGACAATACGGACATGACAGTGTCTATGGTTTTGCATGGTCTGCATGAATTTTAGGACAGCATCAGTCCATTGTGGGGGTTCTGTGGGATCTGTTGTTAGGATCACTTGTCCAGGTTTTATGTTCCTCCATTAATTTTTAAACATATTTTTTAGCTTTTAGTGCATGGTCAGTGGGACTGCAAGAGCCTGTGGCTTTGGCTAATTTGTCCGTGCCTTGTTCTGCATTCTTCGTTTTTCCAAGATTTTTTAACTTAGTGCATTGTAGCTTTTAATACTTGGTCAGGGTGGGGGTATCCTATTTGAATATCCATGTATTCTGCAAGCAGCAATAATTCAATTGTTGCCCCAAAAAGACATTTTCCATATTAAATGAAACACAACTTCATTGTCCTTACAGCGCAACCAGAACAAATAGTGCCCCAAATCCATACATTTAAAATATTTAGGACACTGAGAACGGGGTCATCGAGTGCGGTTAACACGGAGGGAAAAGGGAGATAAAACTTCAGACCTTGGTTGGCAAGAAGGGCTCATAGCCATGAGCCTGTGACGAGCAGCTTCCCCTCTTTTTGACTGCTTGGCAATGTTGGGAGCTGGATTAGCATCGGAGCAAGCTAGGATGAGGTTTGAGAGACGGAAGGAGCTGGGTCTTCACAGGGAGGAGGGAAGGGGTCTGTGGGGTCCCAGTATGATGAGGTCTCCATGGGATGGGACTAGCAAACCCAGTGGCTGCTGTGCATGCTGTGGGCTGCCAAAGGAGAGAGGAGGTCGAAGGCAAGTGACACCTTTGCCGTAGTACCCTCTCCTACAGTGTGTGCCTGCTCATAATGTCTATGAGCTGTTGCTGCTCCATCATGTCCATCTATACTATCCGTTCTGTGCAGCCAGCATCTGCTAAGTTTCCCCTGGCCCATATGGACTCCTTTGTCCTCCAGCTCCTTATTTAATTAGTTACCGCGGTGCCCTCTTGGTGGCTTTGTTCTTTTCCTTCTCCTACCTGTCTTTCTCCTTTTCTTGCCTCAGAAATGTGCGCCATTCCTGAACAACCCTGGGACGCTTCACAGAGGCGTACCCAAGCTCCTCCAACATCTTCTTGGTCTCTTCTTTACTCGCAAGCTGAGCAGACCTTGGGGAGGGTAGTGGATAATGCTGGTGTGCCTGCGGGGGGGAGATTTACAGCTGCTGATGCCGTGGTTCCCTGGGAGCTGGCAGGTTGACTGCCTTGCTGTGCAGGGGCTGGGCTGCACACACGGTTTTTAGACATCCCAGGGTCCCTGTGCATCTGGATCTTCCAATGTTGTATGCGCAGCCCAGCTGCACATGCTTTTCTTTTTACATGTCCACTGAGACTCTGGGATCCTTTCCCAGGGTCCTGGCTGTGTTTTGCACCTGCCAGGTGATAGTGGGGGGACTTGATTTACTCCAGCGGTTGCAAACCCATGCCTTGGCTCCTACCGGCAGGGGCATCTTTGGGATCTAGTCTCTGATCCTGCACATGTGGCATGTCAGGAGGTGCGATTGCTTGGGTCAGGGATCAGATGCCCTTGCATCATTAAGTGAACGTCTGCCAGCCCACTCTGAGTTACAATGTCTTCTTTGGGCTCCAGCTACTATAAACGGGGATATACATCAGACACAAATTCGCCCCCAGTGAAGTCACTCATTGTACACGGGGGAGACTAGCTACTACTTTGATAAGCTGATGGTGATGATGCGGCCTGTATCTTTATCTCCATCCTGGGGTTATGACGACTAACGTTAAACATCAGGCTGAATGGTCAGATTCTGCCATTCACACAGACATGATTTGTTTCTGTGACTTCACTCCTCTATTTAGAGAAAGATGTTGCTAACACCTCCCCTTCTGTATGTACTTACACAGTTGCTAAAATAATCCCTCTTAGTAATAGGCATCTTTAAAAGCCAGCTAGCAGCTGACTTTGAAACAGAAGGTCAACCAAAGGAGCAGAGACTTTGCTTCAGAAGTTTAATGAGAGCAATTGATCATAGAAAAGGGGCTTTACAGAACTATCTGGAGTGTTACAAACAGGCCAAAAAGTCATCATCATCTTTTGAAGCTTTTGTGTGTATAGATATATACTCTTTGCTCTGTTGGTTTCAAGATGAATGTTCAGCCGTGTGCTAGATGTGGCTTTGGGGTTTACCCTGCTGAGAAGATTAACTGTATAGATCAGGTCAGTACACACACTCTCTCTTGAGCATTTTGGAGTTTAATAGATATATATATGCAAAGTTACTTACTAATAAATGGTTTGATCATGCTCCTGCTGGAGTTGCAGGCAGAACTCCTAACCGTATCAATTCTTTATTCATGGTGGCTATTGGAGTGAAGGTAAGCTTGGTTATGAGTGTTTTGTGGAAGATAATTAAAAATGACGAGGTTACAAGCTTGAAAAGATAGTAATTTATGTTCTATTTAGTGTCCATTTAATGCATGCCCTTTATACAGTGGTAAATGCCTATTTAGGAAATGGACAGGGGGGTCAATGTTGAGGTTTAAATATTGCTGGAATAATAAGGAAAAATGAGACACTTTCACTATATTTTAATCATTTCTATTCCTAGACATGGCACAAAGCCTGTTTTCATTGTGAAATCTGCAAAATGATGCTAACGGTAAATAACTTTGTTAGCCACCAGAAGAAGCCTTACTGCCAAGCGTAAGTGTACTTACTTTAAAAAAAAATCATAATGGCTTAAAACTTGAATTACCATAATTTTATCTGAAGATCAGCACTGGGCAGCCAACTGGTCGTCAACTGTTCTATGCAACTGGATCAACTCCATTGACTTCAGCAGAATTGCTCTGGATTTACGTATATGGCAGAGATCAGAATCTAGCCATATATATAAAATTCCCATATTTAAGTCTTAAAAGATACCCTTGTAAGTGCCATTGGAAATATTTTGGAGCGTTGTCTGTTGTAACTGTAAGCAGTGATTTCCATATCAGTGGTTAAGAGTTAATAAGGTATGAATGCACTTAGTAACCAGAAAAATATGTAAAATGCAAATTTTTGGAGTTATATTTTTCAGGATGATTTGATTTTCTAACGATCAATTCCTGTCAAATTTCTTGGCTGAAAACAAGAGATGACAGTTGGTTTTTATTCTATTATTCTCTTTTGTTATTAGTAACACAGCATTGATATGATGATCATTAAAATTAATTTAGTTGTTGACACTTATTTCATAAAACAGTAAGTTGTATGCGAGCTGATGGTATGTGTTGTGGAGGTGGTGCAGTGGTTTTGAGAAACTAAAAAGAGAGCATATCTTTCTGGTGGTGGACAGTCCGATACATTTCTAATCTGCTGTTATACCTTGTTTTATAGACATAACCCAAAAAACAACACATTCACAAGCGTATTTGAGACACCAATAAATTTAAATGTGAAAAAACAATCTGAAGCAGTGAGCGAGGTAAGAGTTTTAGAATAAATTGTATTTGCTTGTACTTTTTGTTTCCGGTGTTATAACCACACTGGGGTTTTTTTTAGAAATGTATTAAAGGACAACCCCTATATTTAACTGCCTTGCCCTCTTTTAAGGTGAGCTCAGGTTTGGGTCACATTTATTTCGAATGGTTTTTGTCACGGACCAAACCAGGGTCTGCATCCCAACAGATCCATACTTTGGCAGATTTGATATTTAGTTCTGGAACAGATTTTTTTTCTTGATCGTATCTCTAGCTTGTTTTTGTTTGTCTGTAGATTTCTTATACATTTCTTTTCAAATACCTCAATTGCATATAGCAAGAGACATGCTTCCTAACATTTGTTGTATGTGTTTCAACAAAAGCTACAAAACCCAAACATTTTTTAAAATTAGTTTTGTGTTTTCTGTAGATTTTTTCCCCAATTTTTCAGCTGCATTTCATAAGTGCCTTACATGCTCATTGTTTGTTTGGGAAGAGGAGCAAAGTCTATAGCTGTTAAATTCTACATAATAAAGCTATCAGATTACATTGCAAAGCAAGGGAGAAAAGCCCAGAATGTCTCAGTTTCAGTAAAAAAGCCCAAGATGGTATTATAGTCTTACTTACTGTATTTTACTTACTTTGGGAACCTTAATTTGCAATCCTTGCCCAGACAAAACATCCTTTGGTATTCTATGAATATCATAGTAAGAAATGCAGGTTCAGTCTGTCAAAGGTTACCTTATCTAATATTCTACAAGGAAGTCTGTAGTATCCGTCACTGAAAATTGCCAGGAATGCAGAGCAGAGCTGTACAGACTTGATTATTAGTGCCAGTGGGTCGCGAGGACATTTTCTTTAATGCTGGTTCACTTACCTTAAATGTTGTGTCAAATCTGAAGACTCAAAACAAAACTTGAATAAAATTGCCTGGTCTTTGAACTAAATAGTTTAAATTTAATTAGAATATGACTCCCAGAAAAGTTTTTTTTGAGCATTCAGTAAATCTGGGCTGAGATGTGAGGGAGTTTTTCCTGTTTTTTTGAAAACATTTTTCTGAAATATTATTGCTAATGTTGATTTTCTTGGTTGTGTAATATGTCAGCTCCAAAAGGCTGTTATGAGCCTAGAATCCCAAAAGGAGTTCCAATTCTTTTTTATTTTCTCATGCCATTGCTTTCTGTTATGACCCCTTTTCTTTCAAAGGTGTTTGTTTAAGTTTTGCACTTCTGGTGGCTATTTAAAATAAGAAAAATATGTCAGAAGACCACTGGTTACTGGCTCATTTCCATGCATAATGTTGTTTTATTAAATGTGGTGCCTTTTAGTCCTCTAAAAATAATCATAGTAGTAGTAGTAATAGTACTAGCAGTAGTAATAATAAGTATAGACAATGTGTTTCTATAGGATCTGGCATCTTATTAAAACTGTACATAAAATAATGGAAAACAGATGCAGTATTTTACATTTTGCAGGCACTAATATCTGGTTCTCTTTCTTCTTGATCAAGTTGATAGTATACATTTAATAACATTTATCACATATTACATTCCTTCTGTCCTTGTACTTCGATAGCATTTTTATGCATCATGTTTTTGCAATATCCTGGACTCCAACAATGACAACAACATCGAGTTCACTTCCTTTAAGATGTGTGTGTGACAGATCTGGTCTGGAATGAGCCTGGGATTACTGCAAATTCTATTTCTGTTTCCCGGCTGTGATATGAGACCCTATTACTTCCAGTGCATGTGGGCATACACGCCAAGCAAATTATAGCTGGGAGATCACTTTCCCTTGCTTTCTCACCTAGAGCACCTCCTGTCCCTTTCAATCATAGAGTGAATTTGAGCTCCAAAGACAAGGTTTCTAAGTGTATCTACAGGCCTAATCCAGGCCGTATTGAAAATGCCTTTTCACTTCTATGGCAGCTTGTAGTATAGAAAAAAATTGGCGTTGGGTCCTAAATGAAAATAACAAACTAGTTTGTGCTTACGGCACTAGACTGAGGCTTAAGAGATGAAAATTCAATTCCTTGCTCTGTCATTTAAGTTTGGTGTGACCTTGGCCAGGGCATTGCCATCTTTGTGCTTCCTTCTTTAATTGTATAATGAAGATATGGTATAATGAGGATAATATATACATTTCAGTAGTTTCTGTTTCTCTGTTATGTGCTCAAATTATGACTTCTTCAGGGCAATGCATGTGCCAGTATAGCACAAGAAGATCCTGATTTCATTTGGGTCTCCAGGTACCACTGCAATACAAATAAAGAATTATAATAATATGAAGACATCGGATTAGACAATGCCCTTAAGTATATTCACACAACCTCACTGACTTCATTGTAGTCAGAAAGGGATAAATGAGAGCAATGTTGCCTTGTGACTGATACTTGGGACTAGTGTTTCATGGTGGTTTCCTTTGCAAAGTCTCTCTTACTAACATTTGAATGGTATGATCTGCTTAGATTTTTATGGGGTTTTAGTCTTCATTACTATGTGCATGTGTGTGGGGCTGGGTAAGGAGGAAGGGGAGATGTATCTAGGAACTACTTAGATCTTCTTGATGGGTTTCAACTGCAATGTGCTGTTTCCCTAAGAGCAAGCAGCTCCAGTGACTGCAATACGTCTTAGTTAGAAGTCACCAAGTGGATGAGAGCTAATCTAGCCTCTCCTTCATAGATCCCTTAGGTAGGGCTGGGAGACAGGTAGGAGAAAGTATAAACCCATTAATGGTGCTCACAGGGTAGGGCAGCATGCTGAGAAAGGTTGTGATAGGCAGACAAAGAGGAAATATTGGTGAAGGGGGCTCTGTGGAAGCTGTGAGTACAGAGATCTGAATACAGTGAGCAGTATTTTCCTGTGGGCTTCAAAGTTTCCAGAGTCCAGGCCTGCTCATTGAAGGTTTGTCATAGATTCATAGATGTTAGGGGCTGGAAGGGACCTTGCAGATCATCGGGTCCAGCCCCCCTACTCTAGGCAGGAAGACAACTATATATCCATTGGTCCTGGTCTTCCCCAGGGGTGCCCTGGTGAACAGTTGTGCACCGAGCTCCTGATGCACTCCTCTGATACAGAAGTAATGAACACAATGGTTTCTGTCTGTATCAGTACAGGCTTTCTATTAACTAGAGCGTGGTCGTGAAAGGAACACCTGGTCTGCACTGGTTAAGGATCTGGGACCCAGAAAGACACAAAGTCCCACAATGCGGTGGGCACATTGCTTATATCTAACATGCGAGCCGCTAAAGTCTGGCATTCGTTTTGGAGTATTGATTTCACTTCTGCTCACCTTTTCCCTTGGAGTTCACTCTAATTCTACAGTGCTGAACACCCAGGCATTTTCCCAGCTTTAAAATGATGCCCTTCTTTGCCTTTTGCATCCGTGATAAGAAAAAAAAAATATTGATGCTGAGTTTTTGTTGCAGGCTAAATATCGAGAAGAAGGGGAACGATTCAGATCTGTTTTCCAGTGGGATATGAACTGCAGAGAGGTGGAAACCGCGTGTAACGTTCAGCAGCTGGCCAGTCAGGTAAGAGAAGCCCTTCGAGGGTACACCTTTCTGGAGGTTGCCAGGAGGCATCCTACAAAGCGTTACTTCCCCATGCTAAATAAAATGATGGTTGGCATGTATTTATGCACAGTGTTTGACTCAGAACAGCCCAATTCTTATTTTGTTTTAGAATGGCCTGTTTAATTTGCATTTGTTTTTCAAGGCGGTGCGTTGTAATTGTTAAAGCGGGGGAGCAAAAGTCAGGAGGTTTGGGGAGTACCTTCACTGCAATGCTAGATGCAGCTACAGCAAGTGTCGATATGCCCTGGCTAGCTTTAATTTACCTAGATCAGGCACCAAAAGCAGTAAACCCGTCACAATATGGACTTCAGCGTAGGCTGTTACTCCGTGTACTTTTTTGTTGATTGAAGCCTTTGCTGCTCTGGTTTTGCTCTTTTCGGCCTCAGTCTAGCAGAGTTATCCTGGGTATAGCTACATATGCTGCAATTGCACTTCTGAATGTGGTGCAGAAATACTCTTGACTCTGATCTCGGTCCTATTCCTGACTCTGTTGCAGCCTTGAATGATGAGCATAGTCAAGTCACTTATCTTCCCCATGCCTTGTTTCTTTCTCTATGTAGTGAACTAATTAGATTTGCTCCCAATTAAAGATCCTCAAGTGAAGGGCACCATGTATATTATTATTATAATTCATCATTTTTCTTGCCACATTATCAAGTACTGAATGAAATACTGGCCCGACAGACATCCATTGTAAAACTCTCATTTGACTTCAGCGTATTCAGGATTTCATCCACTTACAGTTTCCTAGGGGCTTGTTTCTTCCTAACGTCATTTTTCTTCTGATGCGATCCTCTAACGAAGTCGTGATGCAGAATTTATGGCAGCGATTCCTTTTAAAGATGACAAGTAGATGTGCCACAGAGATGGGATTGGGGGAAGAAGGAGCAATGGGACAATGGCCGAGGAATTCCTTATTAAACTCATTTCTGTGAGAGAATGGAAAAGGGAGCAGAGACAATGACATGATGGGCATTGTTTTGAAATAGGGGTGCTCAATGTCTGGCCTGTAGGCCAGATGTGGCCTGCGAGGCTGTGCTATTTGGCCCATGGACCTCCCCACAGGTCCAAAAATTTGGCAGCAGAGAAGAGGTAAATTGCTACTAACTGGCTGCATCCAGACGAACGTGGCCATGTGGTATGTGGCACCGTGGACCTGTCCTGTGGTGCCACACACCTCGCATTCAGGTGTTCCCCATGCTGCAACGTAGCAGTGCAGAGGGGAGTGAGTGGGGGGGGGTGATTTTTGACCCTGGGAGGTGCTGGGGTCAAAAAACCCCACATGAAAAAAGCGGGGCGGCACATGCAGGGGGCAGCATGTGCTGCCCAAAACTGGAGGCTCACCAGCCTGAGCCATGCTTTGGCTGCCGGCCAGGCTCCGAGTGGTAGGATCTCTGCGGCTGCAGCTTCCCAAGGCCCCCAGGACTCCAGGCTAATATTGAAAAAACCCTCCCTTAATTAAAGACAGGAACTTTGATGTCAAATGGCAGGTTGGCTGGTTTAATGGACAATGTTGGGCTATAGACTGTTTCTGCTTATAGACGGGCAGATGAGATTCATCCTAGGTAAGTTATAACCAAATGCATTGCCAGCTTGGACAGGCTCAGCCCATGACCTACATCCCCAATGTCATGATCACTCTTTTCAAAACTCTGAACCACAAGTGAAGAATAGCTGTCACACTTGTCCCAGGACCAGTTATGCCTGTTTTTGTCCTAGAACAGAAAAGTTGTGAGATTGGTGTGTACGCATGTTGTCCTTCCTGTCTGAGTTTAGCGAGTGGTTGAATGCACTGCTGCTTTTCTGCCATTGATCCAGTGATCCAATCCCCAGACAACCTTCACTTGCTCTTCATGATATCCTAGTGCAAACTGTTAGCAAGTCTTATCCCGTGAACCTTTATAGGATTTGTCCTGGGACAACAGACATGGATGTCTGAATGACTGCGCTTTATCCCGAGAAAAAAATGGTATCTCCCGGGACAAATGCACCATCTGTTTGTAGCCAGAATCTAAGAAGGTTGTAGAAGTTGCCCCCTTTGGTAGAGGGATGTGCATATGGCCTATACTTCAGGTAAACAGCGAATGTCATTTCTCAAGGTTATCAGTCTGGTAGTTTCCACGTGCTATAATTTTCTATGAAGAGAAGTATTGACAAAAAAAAAGAAAATGTATTTGTCTTGAATTTATGGAAAAAGGACAATATTTTGTTCTGCGTATATACTTACATACTGTTTAGCATGCATTTAGCAATAGTAATAACGATGGCCTAGCAATATTGTTGCTGTTTGCGTGATGCAGTGAACTACTCAGCAGATATTTGACTGGAAATTTGGGGGAAATAAGTCCGAATTCCATATCACGTAGAAAGATGTTGCAGAATGTGCACAGAAATATTTTGGAATAAAATTAATCTCTATATGCAAGGACAGAACTAAGTCCATGAACCAGTTAAACTCCAACTTTGTATTAAAAATAATAAGACTCACGTGGATATATTTGTTGTGTTTTCCATTTATACAGTGTAAGTTGATTTTTGTGATGGATTTTTATTTGCTTTCCTCTTCCCTAGTGAATTCATTTTTTATATTTCATTATTTATATTTAAACCTATTCACTTAATCTTTCCTTTCTAGAAAACCTATCAGGCAGCTTATGGGGAGGAAAAGACCTGGTATTCTGGAGCCATTCCAGATCCCGCAATGGTCAGGATAGCTCAGTCGCAGAAGACTCGCAGTGATGTAAGTGGGCTGACCTTTGCAGTAGCTTTATTTTTATAGCTTATTTTATATTCTGAGGGCTTACTCATTCATAGTAGCTAAACTGTCAATAACAAATTACCAAAGAAAAGGGTGACATGGATTTGAACTTTGTGAAACAACAGTATTTTTTTAGCCTTTGTGTGCTCTGTCTGTCTAGATATACATTTACAGTCAGTCACCCAGGAGTGTTACTTCCCGGTTTAGATATATTCAAAAGGAATTATCACGACTTTCAGAAGTTAAGATACAGTTCAGTTCCTGGACAGTAACATGTCAGATGACCTTGGCTGGATACTAAGTCCTGCCTACCCAACATTTTCTAGCATGGCTACCATCAGTGAAGTAGCTCCACTGATGGATAACATATTTTATTTTTCTTGGAGTACACAAGTACCTATAGCTTTCCATCCAGCTGCAGTCAGTAAAGAACTGAAAGACATATATAATTAGTAGTAGTCATGTATAAACTACTGTGTATCAAATATGCCTATGGATTTTTTCCACTGTAGCTGAGATTTTTTTTTAACTAGGAAAAATATGAAATGCATGTTCTTTTGTGTGTCATTTATTCTAAAACACCTTAAACTTGTAGGGGATATGCATTACCTACTTTGCTTATTTTTTTTTTTTTAAAGAGGGGTCACATTAATGAACAGAGGTTTTTTATAACAAAAAGAAATGTCACTTCTAGGTGAAATACACAGAAGATTATGAGCAACAGAAGGGTAAAGGCAGCTTTCCAGCTATGATCACTCCAGCTTACCAGATTGCTAAGAAAGCCACTCAGCTAAGCAGTGATGTAAGTCTCAATTTTCTTTTGTGTGCATTGAAGTTACTAACGTTCAGGAAATCCTGGTTTTAAATAGTGGACATTAAAGAGCGCAGCTGGTACCCAACACCTATCTTAAAATTAATCCTGCAAAAGTGGTAAATCTTTTACTTTATTGCCACTTTGTCTTGGGACCCTACCTCACCTTGGAAGAATACTATAAATGACAGCTTGCAGCATGGGCATCTTCTAAGATACAGCAAATTTTTGTGTAATTCATGACATAATTGCTATTTCAGTTTAAAAAACCCGTTGCGTTTTGTTTTTAATCTTATTACTCTTATTTTCCTATTTAATTTTCACTGATTTTTTTTAACCACTTATTCTGGCCTTTTTATCTATCTTAGTTTATAGTGATACCTACCAGTACAATAGTGAACTTAATTTTCTTTAATGTATGTGTATGATAGATGTTTACACATGTATTATAAAAATAACAATCCAAAAAGCTCTCATGAAAATAAGCCCCCTTCAAATCCTTGTAGAAACATGCAGTGGGTTTCACGAACTGCATGAAGCAATGCAGTGATAGTTGTCAGATAGCGTTTTGGTGCCATTACAGAGGAATTTTGCAGTATTTTTATACTGCTTACAAATGTAATTTAAAACGTTGGTTATTTTGGGCATCGACTTCAGTAGGAGCTGGACTCAGTTTTTATATGAAGACAGCCTGGCTATATTGCATGTATTGCTGGAATTATTTAGCATGAAAAAAGTAGTTATAAACATTTCCCTCAACAGTGCTCATGTTTTCTTTACATACAATAACACTTTTGACACTATAGACCTATAATGGAGTGAAATAATAGAACATTTGAGCTAATAATGCCAATGAGTAAAGTCAGGATATATTAGTCCCTTTTCATCAATGGTAGCTGCACCTTCTTTTGTATTTACAGCCAAGAGCTTTATACCGAGGACATAACGGTAAAATAATTAGCTGACTCAAAGATCAGTTCTGTTGCCTTTTTCAGTCTCATGGAAGGAAATAACCAGATATTTACTAGTAAAGGGCTTTAAAATGCATTCAATTTATGCTTCCAGGTAGAGTATAAGCGTGGACATGAAGAAAGGGTCTCCAAGTTCACCTCTGTTGTTGACACTCCTGATATACTGCATGCAAAAGTTGGAGGGCAGCTTACAAGTGATGTAAGTAAAGCAGGAGGAGAAAATAAGGAGCTCTATTTTAACTGCTTAAATAGTTTCTTGAAGCACAAAGACAAATAAAATCTAATACTTAAATCAGAGTTTTTGAAGCACACCTGTCTAAAAGTTTGCTTAGCAGAGTCTGTTATTAATGTTGCTAGACGCTTCCTATTAAAAGACCTGTTTTAAGTTGCTTATACCTTTCCTAAACCATAACCTTTTGAGCTGAAATGATTCATGTTTGTTTCTATCTCAGCTAAAGATTTTTTGGGGATGTCAGCTAAAACTGTTCAGCCATTTCTACGGGGCGTGGGGGAAAAGCTTGTCCCATCTTTGAAAAGTTCTGGTGACTTTTCCTTGAGAAACTGTAGTGCTTGAATGGTTTTACATCTGACAGTTAGGTGACTTTTGGTCAGGGATATGCCTTTTCCATCCTTATGAAAATCCACCCAAGTTCGGACCTATTTTAAGACTTTGAAAAATTGTAGTTTACATAGGACTCGTATAAAATGTTTCCATCTCCTCTGAACATACTCTGTCTGGGGCTGAGCAGGACTTTTCCTGCAGTTGCAGCTCCGTGCAGTTGTGGAGCAGACCTGGGCAGAAAGGGAAGCAAGGAGCCCATCTCTCCTGTGTTGTCATATCCTCCTGCGAGAGTCTGAGCAGTACAAGGGAGGAAGTTGCCTGACTTGAATACATGAGGGGAACAAACCTGGGTAATAATTTGGGACAAAGATCCTCTGAGCCTGTTGGAGAAAGACTAGGGATGGAAGCTGATAGGTGGGGAGGGAAACTAGGCTTAGAGCTGGGGTGAGCTGGGCAAAGAACTGGGAACCGGTACAGTAGAAAAGGAGGTGGGTTGATAGACAACTGGTGAGAATTCGTGATGGGGCAAGGGCTGATTGAGAGCTGGGATGGGGATACTGGGATTGGATGAGGAATATGGAGAAGAGGGAGAGAGGATCTTCATTTACTATGTACACACAACTTCACTGCTAGCACATGGGAGGTGGGGGCCTCTGCCTGAGATCTCTCGAGCATATGTTAACAACCTTTGCAGCAGCAGGGCATTGACTGCCATGGCCCTTCTGCTTTACCTGTGGCTGTCTAGGGCGTTATATCTTGTGTTGTATCAGGGTGGATTGTGTACCTTTGCTAAGAGGTTGGACTATGGATTTGTATAGGATGGTTTGCATAGGGATGGTGCTGCCTTGGGCAGGGGGTTGGACTAGATGACTTCTCAAGTTCCCTTCCAGCCCTACTCTTTAATTCTGTGATTTCAACTTCTGCAACAGATAAAGGAGGGACTGACAACAGCCTCTTTCATTTCACAACTGTGTTTCTTCATCTTGGGCACTGAATCAGACAGGGGTCTTGTGAATCAAATAGTATGCCATTGTATATTAAAGAATGTGTGATAATACATACTCAGATTGGGGGGGGAACTTAAGGCACTTTAGTTCTCGCATTTCCTAATTTTGAGTACTTTGCAAATGTAATGCTTTTCTTTTACAGTTGCTTTTGTTTGCAGTATGTATAAATGTGCGTGCTCTATTTGTTCTTAAATGATCTTGTTTTTACAGTTAAAATACACAGAAGATTATGAACAACGGAGAGGGAAGGGGAGCTTCCCTGCTATGATCACCCCTGCTTATCAAATAGCGAAGAGAGCTAATGAGTTAGCCAGTGATGTGAGTGACAAAAGCAGCTTGTTTGTCTTTGGGTGATATGCTTTTCTGACAAAACTCGTGCCAGTGTTTTTTGTGTGGCCACAGGCCTTTGCTCATGCACAGAGGAAAATAAGATCTCAATGTTCACCAAACCAGCAGCGGTCATACCTGTGAGCTGGGTTCTCCGCCCTCTCTTAGCTGCACTTGCACACCATAGGGAGGAGGGGACCACAAGGAGTCAGGCCTCTGATTCTGTGCTGCCCAGCCATGGCATAACTTGGAGCTGCTTATTTGCAATTCTTATTTATTCCAGTGGTACAATGCTCCTCCGTGACCTTACACCAATGGCAGATAGGGTTTAGCAGAGCTTTTCTCTACTATGAATTTCCCTGTCCCTACGAATCCCCTGTGCTGCTCAGCCTTCCCTTTATGTTGGCAGAGGAGGGAGCACTGTGCAAGTCTTGGTGGACTAAAGAAGCCAGCCTTTTGAGAATTAATTATATGAATGGCCATAAATAAAACAGAGTGCTGACAGTATATAAAATATCTCTTTTGGCTCTGGCCTCACAATATGATTCTTCTTCCCCTTCTGAACCTGAAAAGCCCAATCCAAACCAAATCAAATCATAAAAAGGATTTGCAATAGAAAATTACCAAGCTCCTTTGATTAATGCACATATTTTCCAAATGACTCATTAGTGTCATTTTATATCTGGGCAGTGATAGAAACCATAGATCGTACAATGTGCTAGATGCATGGATGTGACTTTAAATTGTGACCGCAGAGTTATTCAGGTCATTAACTCATCAGTGAAAATTAAGAGGGGCCCATGGTTTATTATGCACATTGTCCTTGATCTGTAGGAAGCTTCAGCATGTGGTTTTTTAGCTTCGACAGGGATAGTGTAAATCCTGGCCCTACACTTGAACTCTCAAATAGAATAAGACTCTCATTATCACTTTGCAGAAGAAAGTCTCCTATTAATTATTACTGGTGGGCGAACAATCCTTCTGTACAACATGCAAAACACCATGAGATTAAGCAGGATGAATGGCACCTATGGTAATTTTGCACTTAGGTTCATTATTTGTTGTTTTTTAATCCCCTGGCGCATCGGGTATCAGCTGCTACTTAGCAGAGGATACTGGTATTGATAGACTAGTGATCTAAACTGGTAGGGCATATTGTATGTTCTTAAAATAGTGTGAAACCAAACACTGCTATTTTGTTTTTATAGATTCACGTAGCAAACAGGTCTTCCGTGGACTGATAGCAATGGACATTTTGGCAATCCTTTATCAACATGTGCGTGTGATTTATTATGCAGCAAATGCGTAACAGACTAAACTCATCTGGCTTGCTCTTTTTTTATTTCCTGTTAGGTGAGGTATCATCAAAGGTATGAAAAAGAGATGAGGGGAAAAGCCAGCCAAAGAGTTGGAACAGATGCTGCTTTCACAAGAGAAAACGTGGATCAGTTTAGTCAGGTATGGAGCAGTTAAGAGATGTTGTGCTGCAGTTGATTATTAATACTGCCATAAAGTTTCACAAGGGCAATGCAACCTGCTGCCCTCTGTCTTAAACTTTGTTTCCCTCCAGGAGAAATCTAAGCCTCAAAAGAAAGAGGATGAGGTGTTAGAGAGAAAGCAGTTAGACATATTCTCTGGGCCAACATTTCTGGATGTCTTTGCAGCTTTAAATAAATTCAAACAGCACTTAACATCACACAAGGTCTCTCAAACTTTGGCTGTGCTATAAGAGTGATATTTTTACCTTGACAAGCTGTTCTTCAACTATGTGAGGACAAACAGGTTTCCTTTCAACACTGTTCACTGTGACTTGATTTTGTTTAATTTTTCAGCAAATATTATTATGGCGGCAATGCTAAAAAATCCCAATGTCCTTTTTTACTGAAATAATGCCTCTCCGTTGGAAGATGTACAGCACAATGATCATAATCCGAAGGATTATATTTGAAGAGACAATTATTATTTCTCATGTGCTGTTCTTAGAGGTGTCAAAATTATGAACAGTCTAAATGTAGGTTTTAATCCTCTTCATTTTTTTATCCTATCTTTCATGATCTTGTTGGGGCAGATTATAATACCCTTTTTCAAATTGGACAGGACACTACCCATCCAATAGTTTCACTGATGTGAACACGGCTATTTTAGGAGTAAAGTGCTATGTAACATGTGTTCAGGGTATTAGAAGCCAACCCAACAGGATCAACAAAATAAGTGAGATTTGAAGTTTATAGCCTCAGCCCTTTTTGAGCTGTCGGAATGAAAAATTCCTATTTTGTTAAAAATCTGTTTTGTTCATGTTTGGGTAACTACTAAGTGTCTGAGTTGATTTAGCTCAAACTTGGAAATATCAGTTTTGGACTGAGATCAAAGACAGGAAAAAAATGAAAGACACTTTTTGAGGAAGTTGTAAAGAACTGAAGAAGAGAAGTCAGAATGGAAGTTAGAAATCAGCCTGAAGAACAACATTTTAAAAGAGCGACCCAGCTAATCATTCATGGTTATTTTTAGAGCCTCTGTATGTATTTATAGCTCTTTTTAGACACAGAACAAGTACAGAGGCTGTTCCCAGACCTCAGTCTGGTGTGACTTTATCTTAACATGTGATATTGGATGCAACACAACATGACTACAACGCATTTCTTTGCGGTGAGAACCCTTAGGAGAGAGAATGCAAAAATTGGTCGGGTTTACTCTTTACTACACTATTTATGCTATTACTGACAGGCATTTTCAGGAGTGGGTGTGTGCCCCTGGTTTGTCCGGGAGGTGTGGGGAGGCTGGAGCGGCTTTTGCCACTGCGAACCTCTTGTCCGAGGCAGTGTAGCGGCAGTGTCTGAGGCAAAGCAGTGGTATAGTGCAGCGGCGGGAGGGCATAACCCCTGCTCCCAGTGCCTTCTGCCGCCCATCCAGATGCAGCCAGCTCAGGCCGCCCTGCCCCAGATCTGGGGGCACACGCGCGCTCCCATGCCCTCCCGGACAGGTGGTGAGAGCCACCGGAGGAGCCACCAGAAGAGCAGCTCCCGGACTGGTGGCACGTAGAGGCGCGCAGTGGCAGGAGCTCCCCTCCCTGAGTCTTGCATCTGCCCACCCCGGCTGTGCAGCTTGTCCCAGCCCCAGCCCCAATCCCTTCCTCGCTGTGGAGGTGTTGATCTGCCCCCCCCTCCCCTCTCTGCCCACCAAAACAGACTTACCAGCTGCAGGTAGCTTTGTCCAGCGTCGTTGAGGACTGCTGCCTGTTTAGTCTATAGCCAAATCTCCGAATTGGGGCCGAATCTTCGGATCTGAATCGGCCTAATCGAATCAGGACAGTGATTCGAATCACCGAATCAAATCACTGTCCCTCCGAATCGGCCAAATCCGAATCCGAAGCAAATACTTGCTGCTTCGCATTGGCCTACTGGTTGGGACACGGGAGTGCTAAAGCGTGGGGACTGCCTGCTGCCTAGCCCTGCACGTTAGTACCCTTGTGCCCCAGTTAGCAAACTGCGCTGGAGTTTATTTCTTCACCTGAATAGCATGTGTAGATACACCTCTAATAACCTTGTGTGGCACGTCATGGCACACTCAACAGGGTCTCAAGGCACCACAGGGTGCTGTTGCACCCTGGTTGAAATCAGTCTTTGAGAACAACAAGAACAACAACATTAACACAACAAACTTCTTTGCTTGTTTTGTTTTTTCACCTCCATGCTACCCGAGTAGCTCTTAATGACAGAGTGACTTCATGCTCAACAGATCCCTGTGGGTTAGGACAGTATTTTTTCACAATTTAGAACATGAGGACTAAAGCCAGTAGAGATGCTATTGAGTCATGCAGGGGCCCTCATATAGAGCCTGATTTGAATCAGACCTCCTGAGTCCTTCACCATTCTTCCTTTCTTGTCTTTGTAGACAAACATATATTAATGCTGCATGGGAATTATAAAGTGCTATCACTTGGGCAACATAAAGAGACCATAGAGAAAGTTCATATAATGATGATGAAATACATATATTTCAATGTGAAATGACAGACTTAACAAAGAAATGGAAGTAATAAGCCAGACAAACAAGAACAGACTGGGGGAGGGGGGCTGGTAGTAAAGTCATTAGTGACCCATAGTCCTTGAATTTTTTGCAGGATTATATGGGTGAATATGAAGAGCACAGGGGGAAAGGAAGCTTTCCTGCTTTGATCACGCCAGCTTACCAAAATGCCAAGAAAGCAAATGAATTGGCAAGTGACGTAAGTATGAAACTGAAATCATCAATATAATACTGAAACGGTTAAAAAAGTAGCAATTTTGTCAAAGCAGAAAGCAGAACGCTAGAATTAAATCAGCAGAGTAAACACTGATGGCTTTTTGCCATATTGCTGGGGACTAGATCGCTCAGAGTAGGGCTGTCCAACTTCCAAGTCCCCAGGGGCTGCACTAGCGGGGACTGCACACCACATGGACTGCGCCAGGTGAGACACGGGCGACCAGGCTGTGCATAGTGCAGGTACTCTTGCCTCCCTGCCCCACACTGCTTTGCACACTCCCTTGGGCAACCCTCACTGCTGCACTGCACACCTCCTATTACTGTACTGCGTGGCTGTGATGTCCCCCACGCCCCACTGCAAAGCGCACCCTTACAGGCACTTCCCCTCTGCACTGCTACGCCATGCACCCTCCCCCCACTGCTGCCCCATGCAAGTATGATCCCCCCTCTCCTCTCATGCAGCCCAGTCCTCCACCTCGCAAGCAGCCTGGGCTCCCCCTCTGCTCCCTGCACTGCTGTTCCCTCTGGGACGAGGGAAGGAAGCAGCCAAGGAGGAAAGGGGAGCCTGGAGACTCCAGTTGCTTTTGCAGTTGGAGCAATGGGGAGAATTGGTGGCCAGGTGAGAGCCCAGCCTCAACCTAACCCCTCACATTGTACAACCCTGACTCAGAGGTTTAGCAGTGCCCACTATAATGAATGCAACCTATATATCTGAATAGTTTTAGTCATGAGGTTGGCTACAGTATCTTTTGTCAAGAGATGCAGTTTCCTTGTTCTGATTTGGGTGTATATGGTATATATTGTACCTTTCCTGCTGAGGAAGTCATATTGAGAAAAGGGCTTGTAGGGTATGGCACTGCCACATCATATGGACTAAACTCCTTATCTGCAATCCAGTGATTTCTTGATCTGTTATCTAACTAATAGGCACAGACTGAGAAGTGGCAGTGTCTGGCTCTTCATCAACCAAAGATGATCAACCCCAGTTAAAGGGATTACTTCTAGAAGCGAACATTGTGCCAGTCTACAGGCCTCTTCTGTGCTTATTCGGTCTGCTGTTGCTATGAGGGGTGCCTGTTGGCGATAATATTTGTTTCATGGACACCTGTCCACTAGGAAATGGACTGATTCCATCAACTCAGACCATTAATTAAACCAGCAGATGTTAAGATCTTTCAGCCAGTGCCAGCCTGGACCAGATACAGGCAGTGACTTACTTAGAGGTGGCAGGTTTCATGGTGTTTTCTTACTTGGGCCCATGACTGGGGAAATATAAAAAGCCTGAGATCCCCAGTGGCTGCGATCTATTTTGGTGAAAAATCCAGCAATACTCAGTTTAAGTATGAAACAGTGAAGTTCCCTGATTAAAGAGGCCATTTTAATCCAACTTCAAGCTGTGAAAAATCAAAATGATGCTTCCTAATTTGCAGTTGTTTGCGGGGAGGTTGTTGTATTTCAGGTTGAATACATTGCAGTATCAGATTGCTTCATTTTGTTTAAAACCTAAGAAGTTGGTTTTAAGAGATTCTGAAAATGAAATTGGAGTGATCATAATATTTCAACACACACCAAACTTTCAAATGTAGGCTTGTTAAATTGCACGGGATAAAGAACGTACGCGGCTGGGTGCGGGTGTAAATCATTGATCTGTGGTCCTTTCGGAGTATTTATGTTCAAAAGAGGCAATATATAAATATAAATTTTCAGCCCATAAGTGAAATCATGGCCCTATTTAATTAAGTCAGTGGTAAAATTCACAGATTAAATTGGGGGTGTTGGTTGTAGTTGTGTTGATCTAAGGGCATAGGCAGACAAGGTTTTGGGGTAAATGTGGTATCTTTTATTAGACCAACTAAATAGTTGGGAACAAATTTTTTTGAAAGCTTTCGGGTACAAACACCTTTCTTCAGGCACAGGGAGAGACTTTATCATCTAAACATCACTTCCTTTCACATGGACCCATGCCTCATATTTATCTTAGAAATCCTATAAAAAAGGATACATTCAACAAAAATTACATTCAACAATACATTCAACAAGCTGGTCTCTGTACAAGAAAACTTCCTAGGGTTCCCATCTCATCACCTTCCTCAATTTCTTCACTGGCAGGCTAACATTAAACTACAGAAAATTGAATCTGTTAAAAGAATAGTGTAGACAACCCAGCTAGTTGTTCACCAAGTTGCTAGCCAAGCCTGGTTTTGGCTAAATTGTCAAGTGGCTTTATGTGAGCCACGGGATTGGCTGACTTGTAATTTTCTAGGGAGATGATTTTAGGAAGTAATAACCTATCTTTCTAACTTTTTAATTTTTCTGTTTGCTTTTTAAAGTGAAAAGAAATAGGAAAGGTATTATTATAGCCCTTAAAGTAACTAGAAAGAGCAGTATTGACAAGATGTCTATATTTTGATTATATTTTCACTTTCTCTTTAGATAAAATACAAGAAGGATCTTTCAAAGATGAAAGGAGCAGCACACTACCATTCCCTTTCGGCTGAAGATAACCTAGTTCTTAAGCGAGCCCAGAATGTTAACAAGCTTGTCAGCGAGGTAAGGGGTCGCGCCGACTTACGGGAAAAAGACATGCCGCGTGCAGCAATATCTGTTTCTCTGTGGAAGGTTGGTTCTGGTTTCTCAAGCCAGGAATACAAAACACGGTGGTCCTTCCTGAATAACATGCATGAAAACAGGTCAACGTGTAATTAAAAATGTGGTCGTACCTTCAGGAGAAACTTTCATGAACATATCCAGAGGGGAAGTACACTGTCAGCTCTATTGACATCAGTGGATGTAGGCCAAGTTACATCAGACTGAGGATGACTGAGGATCTCGCCAGAACCCATCCATTCAAGTTGCCTTTAAAGTAGAAACATCTTCTGAGAAGCCAAAATAGCATTTCTGTTTCCTGAGCCACAGTTTTCACCGAATGTGTTTAATATTTCCCTTTTTAACCAGTTCCTTTCATGAAGACACTCTTGATCCTCCCCTCTTTTTTCTTTAAGGAAAAGCAACCAAGATTATAGAGATCATAGGCAGAGGAGAACAAAGAAGGCATAGCCTTGTTTCAGATGATGTTTCCCAAAATGTTATTTATTGGGCTAGTTGTTGACTATTGTGTTGATACTCAGGAGACCTCAGTTTTATATCCGGCTCTGTCACTGACCTGGCTGACATTAGGGCAAATCGATTCATTTCTGGAAGGTTCAGTTCTCTCCTCCCTTCTCTAAAATGGAGATTTGATGATCTTTACTTTCTTTTGTAGAGCGAGAGCTATGCAGACAAAAAGTACTCTGAACACACCGTGTGTTACTGATAGTTTATTTTTCTGGGTTGTGAATTTATTTGAAACTGATATTTTTAATCTGTGCTCAAATACAAGTTCAGCACTTAGGTGAGCAATTTTTTTTTTTTTACAAAAAAATGGAAATGTCCACATTTCATCTGAAGCCCAAATTCCTCTGAGCAATAACACATTTACACCTGAATTTTGCCTGACCATAGGGTCATTCAGAGGGAATTTTTTTGTATATGTGTAATAGGATGTAGGCCTGTGTGAACAGGGAACTATCCGATTCAGATTTGGATTCGGCCAGTTCGGCGGACAGTGATTCGATTCGGAGATTCAGCTTCAGAAGATTTGGCAAGATTTGGTGATTTGGATCAGCTGGGGAGAGGCAGGCATAACCGGGTGGCTGCAGGTCCTCCTGCAGCTCCAGCGGCTCTGCCTGCCTCTCCCCAGGTTGGGGGAGCTGTGGGAGATGCCCCCGTGGCTGCCCTGCCCGGCCCCATTCCCTGCCCGGTCCCTAGTCCAGCTGACACATGGAGCTGCCCCAGCTCCCAGGTGACTTGAACCAGGAGCTGGGGAATTGATTGGGGGGCTGGGGAAATGTTCAGGTCCTTGAATATTCCTTCAGTTCCCAGTTCAATTTCCCAGCTCCCTGATCTTTCCTTGAGCTCTTCGCGGGGGATGCAGGCCCCTGGATGATGCAGCAGGCTGCTGCTGCCAGCTGGTGATAGCGGCAGTTCTGGGCTATTTCCCCATCTGGCAGCAGCAGCCTGCTATAACCCCGTGTGCAGATCTGGGGGTTGCACCCCCCGGGAAGAGCTGGAGGAATGACCAGAGAGCTGGGGAATCCAGCTGGGAGCTCCAGGGGATAGGTGGAGCAACCCCAGCTCCCGAACAGTGCGCAGTGCCCTGCCGAAGTTCCCTGCACCTGCGCCATGGGGCAGCTTCCATGCAGGTGCCGGGGGGGGGGGCGGGGCTCTGCCACAAGTGCCCAGAGGCCCCAGTCACCACTGCTAGAGGCTGGGCCAGGCAGGGACTGGGACTGGGCAGAGCACAGCCATGGGGGCTTCTCCTGTGGCTCCTCCAGCTATGCCTGCCTCTGCCCAGGCGGGGGGGAGTTGTGGGGGCTCTGCCCTGCTGCTGCTTGCCCAGCTGGCATGGTGGGGGGGGGTCAGGGCATGATGCAGGCATGGCTCACTCCAGACGTCAGCAGGGCATAGCCCCTGCTCTGAGCACTGCTGTTCCTGCAT